TGCCCTTTTGGCGGATTGCAATACGTGATTCCGTTAAACCGCAGTGACATTATCTCACTGACATTTTGGGTGTGCTATTGTTCAGGTTTCCGTAAAGGCCTAGTAATTAGGAGCAGCTTCCTTCATTTACATGTGTCGATGTGCTTTGAATAACGAGGCATATGACAATAGTTCTTATTCAATGGAATGCAAATAAGTGCCCGGTTTATTCGAGCGCGAGTTGTGTATGTGTCAAAAATAACTTATTTTTATTTTATATTTCTCCAAAAACGGAGAAAAGCAAAACACTACACTTTAGAGAGAGTGTTATTTTGAGAAAAGTGTTGGTTTTGCTCGGATTCGCAGAGTTATAAATTAGAATCAGCGGGATCCGGGTCAGCTGAATGCTATTGTAACCGTAGAAATTAACCTATCGTTGCGGTTTCGGAAACGAAACTGTCGGACAAGCTGCTTTCATTTCCGCTGTGATGTTTAACGGTCGAATTTTATCTCATGTGCTATATTTTTGAGAATCGTAGTGCCGTCCCGACTAAATATTGAACTGGCTTATTAGTATGACGAATCAAACATATTCTTGCGGTGAAAGTAGACGTGAGCTGGTGGCCTTATAAGCTGTAAGGAAGCAGGCTAGGGGAAACGGCAGAAGCGGTACACCATTAATTGTTGTGGAACTGCCAACAAGTGAGGTTGTATATCGAAACTCGGCGAGAACACAGTCCGTGAACATGCTACAGTTCAGTTCATCAATTTACAGGTAAAAAGAAATATTCATTTTGCCTTGTTAAGCGTTAAATGACTAGAATTAAAATAGTCGCGGAATGAGCCCATGAACGTGTCAAGTATCTTTGTGGGTTAGTACTCGGGCCATTTATCATCCAAAAGTGCGCCATTTCTGTAATTTTCGAAAACGTACATGTTGCATTGAAAACCTAATCATTCCCTTCATAAAGCTAAAAAAATATCTTTAAGTGAAGAAAAACGTTTTGAGACCGATTACACGTAAATATATAAAGGAGATGGCGTATTCTGAGTAAGCAGTTTACAAACATTGAGTCGTTGAATGCTGAAATCCATACATACAGTCCAAGATAAACACAGTGAACACGAAACAAACAGAGACTAAATCGAACTCTTCGAAACGTTTAAAGATTTCAGAACATTGTTTTACAATATATTGACATGTGTTGTTTCTTTAATTTCTAGGTCCATGAATCTTCAAAAAAGAGCTGTCTTGCTAACACCGTGACAGGATGCTGTGTATCTTACAATAAATTTGTTTGATATCATATAATTTCGAAACATCTGCCTCGTCTCACTCACTAAATTTCGTTGAAGGGCTATCTGACGCGTTCAAAACAGAGAACGATTTAAGAGCTGTATAAATATGCCTCATACATTTTATGTCTGGAAATTTCCATGTACCTTTACAGAGTAACGCAAAAAGGAACAGGGAGTGCGTGAAGGTACAAGGAAATTTCCATGTACCTTAACATGTGTGGTGTAGGAAGGTACATGGAAATTTCCATGTACCTTAACATGTGTAGTGTAGGAAGGTACATGGAAATCTCCATGTACCTTAACGTGTGTGGTGTAGGAAGGTACATGGAAATTTCCATGTACCTTAACATGTGTAGTACAGGAAGGCACCGTACCATGTGTAGTGCAATTTTTCTTTTTACCTGCGTTTGAAAGAAATCATGCTCTTGGAGGTAAATTTTACCATAGGAAGTGACTTTGTTGCAAAACTTAACTTCTTCTTAAGAAATCTTGCCAGCCTTAATTCTCTTTTCACCGCACCTGGTAATAGTTTCACTGAAGTGGCTGATTATTGCCAAAAAATCGGCGTTTTAGAATATCCCATTTTCTTTTAGAACGTGTTAAGAATATGTTAACGTTTCGATGTTAATTTTCTAGGGGACCCTGCCGACACCGTAGCACGCTCATCAGACGACGGGAAAGACAAAAATAAATACTGTAAGTTACATAGCTTTAATCGCAGGCGTAGCAGATTTCAAACAATTTTTTTATTAAGAACGTTCGCGGCCAAAATGTTCCTACGTACATATAATTTTTTTTAACTTGCCATGAATGCGCAGTAAGGCAAAGATCAACTTTGGCTGAAAAGAAAAACAATATGGGCGGTCGCCGGCGTACTGGTTCGTTTTGAAGTAAGGCTCATTGAAGACCTTGCGTTTTTAGAAGCTTTTGCTATTTTGAGACGATCTTAACACACGTCGACTACCAGGAATTGAAGAAGCTGCATTGGTAAAATTAAGNTTAGCCAAATATTTAGCAGAAAATACCTTATGCTTCTCCCATGTCATCAATGTCAGATGGCTGTTTGCAAACGCTCATTCTGACAGCTGATTTGAAAGCCACTCAAAATTGTAGCCTAAGATATAGTACAATTTACTGGTAGTCTATCAAAAGGGGAAATAACCGCGACGGGATATTTTTTTCTATAAATACAAATTCTCGTTTCTTTTGCCATAGTTGGTAGTTATACAGGAAGATTATGTTAACGTTTCGATGTTAATTTTCTAGGGGACCCTGCCGACACCGTAGCACGCTCATCAGACGACGGGAAAGACAAAAATAAATACTGTAAGTTACATCGCTTTAATCGCAGGCGTAGCAGATTTCAAATAATTTTCTTATTAAGAACGTTCGCGGCCAAAATGTTCCTACGTACATATAACTTTTTTCACTTTCCACGCATGCGCAGTAAGGCAAAGATCAACTTTGGCTGAAAAGAAAAACAATATGGGGGGTCGCCGGCGTGCTCGTTCGTTTTGAAGTAAGTCTCATTGAAGACCTTGCGTTTTTAGAAGCTTTTGCTATTTTGAGACGATCTTAACACACGTCGACTACCAGGAATTGAAGAAGCTGCATTGGTAAAATTAAGATCAGGTATACGTACTCAATTCAACACAACTAAGTCCACGAAGTAACCTTTTGTACCGGAGCTCCGGTGGCCCGAAGGGCCGCCAAGCGGAGCCCCATATTCATATGGGAAAGAAAAGGAAACCCACGAGTTAATTTTCTCATGGTTATCATGGCTAGCGGTATTGCTTGTGGGCGCGTACGCACGACGACGACGACGGCGACGGCGGAGTTGCCCAACATGGCGGCCATACTCCAAAT